TTCCCCTACCAGTCGGCTATCGCAGTGACGCATCGCTTCCCTACGACTTTCAATGGTGGTCGGGACTTGATGTAACACCCCAGACTAAAATTATATTAGTAGCTCGACTTATTTATCGAAATTAGTAATATTTTAATTATGCAGAGAATTATTAATATTAATTGCATAATTTATTTATTTTCAAGCCCAAGTAGTATTTTAAAAATCTAGCCTAGTAGAAATTATATATCCGAGCCCAAGCCGTTAAAAATCGAGCACAATCTATTAGGCCCGATACTAAGCCCAATAAGAGCAAAACCCTAAGCTCCCCACCCTCCTATAAATATCATGTCTCCTTGTCCCCCAACAATCCAACACAAAACCCTAGCCCCCCAAGAGCACTATTCATTGTCTTCCACCTCCATTTTCAAAGATCTAGTCCAAAAATCCACACCATTTTTCAAGATTTAACATTTAATCCCCAAGATCCACCATGTATTGACCAATTATCCGGCGACCAGCTCCGGCGTCAAGCTTCCGTCGTCGTTGTCATCTTCCCCGAGCTCATCCCGTCACCACCATCTCTGGCGAAAGCAAGCTCGCGACCAGATCCTCACCTCGGGCCTGCGACCCGCTCAGCCCGCAGCTCGAGCCAAACACAACCCGCAGCTCAAGACCCGACCAAACCCGCAGCTCTCCAGCCCCGTTTTTCCGGCAAGTTCGAGACCTTCTTGGCGAGCTCGAGACCACATCCAGGCAAGCCGTACACGTCATCATCTTCCCCAGCTCGCGTCTTCACGGCGAGACCCAGCTCCGGCGACCATTCCGCCTCCGTGCAGATCCACGACGAGTTTACCATCGGCCTTAGCTCGCACCAGCGCCCTCCTCAGCTCAGACCCGACGATCCACCAGCATCCCAGCACCCTCCTTAGCTCAGACCCGAACTAGCAGCTCCACCACACCACAGCGGGTCACCACCTCCGAGCCCGCACCGAACCAGCTTCAAAACCGAGCCCAGCACCATTTTCGACCCATCAGCTCCTCAGATCCACCTCCAACCCGGGTCCAGCAGTCCAGATCCGTGAGAACCGACCCGGTTTGCTACCACATCCCCAAAAATCCGGTCCAAGCAACCCTTAGTTGGACCGGTCCGACCTGACCGAATTCTTGCTCCATTTTCCTTCCATTTCCCTAGCCGATTCGCTCTTTGTTCGAGCATTTGAGGTATATTTGATAAAGCTTGAAATATATGGAATAAATTGATGATTAATTCGAGATAAAATTAATGAGATGTTGATTTGAGTTGATCGGTACATACGAGCTTAAAGCGAATAAATTGATATTTTTCGATAAACGCGTTAAAATGTCGAAATAAATATGATAAATTCGTATAGCTGACTTGAGGCCTAGGTTTTAATTTCGTAATTTTTGGTGCTCGTTTAGTATGTTAACTGGATTTTAGAATATGTAGCTGAAATGCCTGATTTTTGATAAATATGATAAAGACCTCGGAATTCGATGCAACTTTCACGAAAAATCTTATAAATGCTGAGTATGTCGTGGGTTAAATTTCATAAATTTTAGAGGTTGTTTGTTATGCCTACAAATTCGGAACTTTAGCTGCTTTGGTGAAAATCCTAGAATTTATCCGGTTGAGATTTAGCTAAAAATTACTAGAAATCAAGTTGAACTTAAAGTTTGAGCTTTGACTTGAACCGGGATAGATAGTCGGTCGAGTAGAGAACCCTAGTCTGGCCTTATTCGGTCAGTCCGGATGAACTCTAGATTCGAGTAGAAAAGTTGTGCGTCGACTGATGTCGTGTCCGTGCGTATGCACTCGGACCACGATTAAGTCGAGTTGCACCCAGTCAGATAAGTTAGATCAGATAAATCAGATAAGCAGACCAGACTTAGAAATATTTCAGAGAACTCTAGAATGCCTCAAAGTATGCAAATCTTTTCAGAATAGCTCAAAGCATCTAACTCCAGATTAAATGATATTTTAATCGAGCGAGAGAACCGAGTAAGATTTATTAATAATAAGAATCAAGTTTTTATTT